AAAATGGTAAGAGTGGGAAAACATAATGCTCAGGATAGTCATCCCAATAAAATGTCCAATCAATTTTAGGATCCAGAACCCATTAATGAAGAGGTCGCCAGGTTCCTAGGAAGTAGAACCATGCAACACCATGACAAGCATATAGTGTAGTAATTCCCTTGGTTCTTCCTTAACGGGAAGAGGTGGATATCTAGACATTCGGAGGGTCTACTGGATGCAGAGTTTGAGCTGACTTTAATTCTTCAACTGAAGCACCGTAGTAGCTGTGACTAGAACTAACTGGCTGACAGCCCCAGCTGCTGAGCCTTAAAATTCATCACCATATTCATGCTGAGGCCAAGTTTTCCCTGGGTGCTTCCAGTCAATGACTAAGCATGGCAGAGATACAAAAGCAGGACCATTCCTGGGAGGTGCAGGACTCCCCTGACAGGCAACGTTTCGGTTGAGGATCCCCAGATAGCCTTGCCAAACTTTGCTTAGAACTGCAGTGCTGACATCACTCGACCTTCCCACCCCCTCTCCTTCACTTGGGGTCAGAACTACACCCTTGTCTATTGGTTCCCCCAGTCTCTCTTGGCTCCTCTTCCATTTTTTTTTCCACAAGTTTTCTCCCAAATAAATTTCTGGCTCCCAGTGGGTCTGGCCCACTGTGGACACAATGGGTCTGCAGATCCACCCAGTGGTCACTTCCCCAAGCCCTGAATGTGTCACCAGTATTGATATACTTGGCAACTGGAGTAACCCCAACATAGGGTCCTCGCCTATGGGGTAAAAGCTCTCACAGTGATGAAGACCAAGTGGAAAACTGTGCAACAACCCCCTCTCCACCAAAATAGTTAACCAAAACCATTATTGATCCCAGTGGGCATGGTAGAGGTTAATGCCACCATTAAAGGCCTAAAGGATGCAGGGATAACTTTCCATAGCATATCATATCGGCGGTCTGACTCCTATAGAAACTGAAGGATGACTACAGACTACTATAAACTTAACAGGCCTCAACCGTGCTGTTAGGCCAGATGTGGTACCAAGGCTAGAAGAGATTAGTAAAGTCATGGGTAAATGATATGTGGCAGTCGAAGTAGTGAATGCACTCTTTTCCATTCTGATTAGAAATAAAGCAGGAATAACAAAAATACAGACTGTGGAGCAAATCTGGTCAGCTCTCTGCTTTGTAAATAAAGTTTTATTGGAACACAGTCATGTTTACTCATTTATCTATTGTTTGTCTGCTTTCACATTATAATGGCAGGGCTGAGTAGTGGCAGCAGAGACCATATGGCCTGCAAAACATAAATTTACTATTTCCCTTTATAGAAAATTTTGCTGGCCCCTGGAAAAGAAGACCAGAATCAGTGTAAATTGACATGGGACGAACAACAATTATAATTTGCAGTTTTGCATCAGGGCTCTTTAACTCTTCCACCTCCCATCATAATATAGTCCAAAGAGATTTGGACTGCCTGAACATCCATAGATGTCATTCTGATCCATTACAATGGTTGTATCATGTTGTTACTGGACAAAATGAACAAGAGATGGTGAGTAATCTGGAGGCCTTGGTAAGACACATATACTCCAAGAGGTGGGACATAAATCCTATGCAGATTCAGAGAGCTGTCACTTTGGTGATGTTTCTAGAAGTCCAGTAATCAGGAGAACGTTGGGATATCCCCTCCAAAATAAAATACAAATTGCCCCATTTTGCATCCCCTACCACAGAGCAGGGAGCACAATAGCTGACAGATCTCTCGGGTTTCTGGAGGCAACACACTCCACATCTAAGGATACCTATCCAGGTGATATGTTGGGTGACTTGGAAGACTTCTTGCTTTGTTGGGGCCCAGAGCATGAGAGGTCTGTAGCAGGTCCAGGCTACAGGGCAAGCAGCGGCCTTACACTTGACCATACAATCCAGCAAACCTTATGGTGTTACAGGTGTCAGCAGAGGGAAAAGAGCCATGTGGGTTTAACGACAAGCCCCGGGGGGAGAATCACAACATAGGCCTCTGGGATTCTGGAACAAGGCAGCATCTGCAGCAGAGCATGATATGCTTTTTGGAAAAACAGTTTCTGACATGTTACTGGACTCTGATAGAGAAGTAATACTTGAACATGGGGCAGTAAGGGACCATGCATTAGAATATCCCATTATAATCTATGTCATATCAGACCCACCAAGTCATAAAGTCAGATGGGACCAGTGGCAGCAAGTTATAAGATGGTAATGGCACAACTGAAATCAAGCTTAAGCAGGGCCAAAGAGCATGGATAAGTTGCACGAACAGACATTCCAGACCCCATGTTACCCCCAACATTTGCACCAATGCCCCTTCCACAGCTCATACATATGGCCATATGGAGGGTTTCATATGACCAGCTGAAGTATGGAAAAAGGCCTGTACTTAGTTTGCAGATGGGCCAGCTTGTGAGTGTAGACAGAAAATGGATGGTGGCTCCATTTAGCCACATTTTAGGTATGGTCTTGAAAGACAGTAAAATGGAACAATCTTCTTAATGTGCAAAGCTGTTAGCAGTGTACCTGGTCATTCATTTTGTGTGGAAAGAGAAGTAACCTGAGGTTAGAATGTATATTGATTCATGGACAATGGTCCTTGGCTTGGCCATCTAGTCAGGGGCCAAGAAGGAAAAGAATAGAATATTGGAAACAAAGTTTGAGCTAGAGGCAATGGACATATGGGAGCAGGCAGAGAGTGCGAAGATTTTTTATAATAACCACAAGAGAGGATTTACCATAGAAGAGACACCAAAACAACCAAGTAGACAAAATGACTTACCCAGTTAATGGAGTTGGTATGATGGACACATGAATGACATGCTGGAAGAGAGGGAGGCTATGTACAAGGTCCAATAGGATAGACTCCCACTTACAACACTAATCAAGCCATTGCTGCTTCTGAATGTCCATTGTTGGTCTCAGGAACAGAGACCAGTAATGAGCTCCTGATGTGGCACTAATCCTCAAGGAGACCAACCAGCAACTTAATGACAACTCAACTTCACGGGGACCTTTCCATGCTGAAAGGGTCAGTGGTTTATCTTCAGAGGGAAATATAAACCTATTCTAGGTAGGAGCCTGCATTCCTGCCTTCAGACCCTCAGCCAGCACCATAATCCAGGGGCTTACAGAATGTCTGATCCTTAGGCATGGAATCACATACAATATAGTATCCAGGGGCGCCTGGGTGGCTCAGTCCTTAAGCGTCTGCCTTCGGCTCAGGTCATGATTCCAGGGTCCTGGGATCGAGCCCCGCATTGGGCTCCCTGCTCCGCGGGAAGCCTGCTCCTCCCTCTCCCACTCCCCCTGCCTGTGTTCCCTCTCTCGCTGTGTCTCTCTCTGTCAAATAAATAAATCTTAAAAAAAATATATATATAGTATCCAATCCAGGGACCCCTTCACAGTGAAGGAGGTGTGGGAGTGGGACCATAAGCAGAGGACCCACTAGAATGTATAGTAGAAAGTGAGCTGTGAGCCACTAGCTGTGACCAAGAGACTAACCAACTACAACAATGGGAAGTATAATTTGCTCCACTATCCTCCCTTTACTGAGTTTACCCTCAGGAAAAGAAGCCTCCAGAAACCATGGACTAGCTAGCTGTTTCCTGGAGCTTGCCTGGAGTGGTAGATCTCTGAAGCACAAAGGTGGATTGTTGCAGTCATGGAAACATGCTACTGGGATCTTCCTGGGACAAGGAGCAAAACTGACTGATGGCCCAAGTTGCTGCTCCACTGGGTCCATCCCTGTGTTTTCATAGATGCCACGTTTCGCACAAGCCTCTCCTAGCCAATGGCTAAGTGTAATGAGGATACTAACGCAGGCCCTTTCCAGTGAGATAAGGAACTCCTCTAACAGGTGACTTTGGGTAAGGGCAACCCATCTGCCTGGCTGAGCTTTTCTTGGAACTGAGCTATATAGTCTGAGATTCTTCCCACCCATTCCTCCTTCTTTCTCTCTCTCTCTCTCTCTCCTTCCACTCAGGTCAAACCAGCATCTGCTCCTTCCCCCAATAAATCTCTTGCATGTCTAATCCTGTCTTGACAGCTGCTTCTAGGAACAACCTGAACTAATACACTTACATGCTTACAAAATACCTCAAGGTTTATGTTATTATACCACAGTGCAGATGCAGATGAAGAGCTGAGTTTTAAAGAGATTAGATGACTTGCCTGATATCACTCAAGCCCAAATGCACCTCAGACATCTTTCTAACATTCTTAGTTGACATTTAAAAGAAAGGCTGTGTTGTAATATGATAGAAATGCTTCTTAATTGGGTTGTTTCAGGAAAATAGGATTCTTCTACCCCAAATATGTCAGTAATTGGATGTCTTTTGAAATGAGAATCTTGGACTTGTTCCCCTCTGTGCCTTCCAGTTCCAAGACCTTATGGTTTTTCCCTGTAGATAAACATTATTTTATTTATTTATTTATTTATTTATTTATTTATTTATTTATTTATTTATTTGACTATTGAAGAAATGGGCTTCAGTGCTATAGACTAAAACTGTAGAATGATCCAGAAAAAGGAAGGTTCTATTTTCAATATATATTCCATGATCTGGGAATTTAAAACCTGCCGAGCTCTCCTATCCCTTTTCTTCTCCTTTACTTCTTTTTGGCTATACAGGTTAGTCTTCTTGCTCATCTTATTTAGAGCCAAGCTTTAGGAATCTGCCTTTATTGTTCTCTAGGCCTGAAGTGCTATTACCCAAGATCTTCACAGACTCAATCCCATATTCCACTAACCCTTCTTTCTAAAACTGACCCTCTCCCCCTTAGCATTTTCTATTATCTTACTGCTTTATTTCTTTCATAGCAATTATTACCACATATTTTTATGTATTTGTTTACTTATTGTCAGTAGTCTCCATTAAAATGTAATATCTCTGATAGTAGGCAGTTTTTCCTCTTCATTATGCTTATAGTAGGTTTTTAATAAATATTTTTTGAATTAATTATTAACACAAAAAATACATACCTTGCTCCTTTGGCAGGACTCTTTCCCAAACTTTCCCCCTCTCCATTCTCTTGCTAATCACGTTTTCATATAGGTAAAATCTGGTTAAAATAAACATACATTTTGAAGAAGTAAGTAAGTTATAAAAATATAGCTTTGTTGAATTCATTCATTCATTTGACATACCTTTATTAAAGGCCTACTATATGCTTGTGACTTTCCTAGATCTGGAGATCCAGGATTGAAAAAGATATAAAAGGTTCCTGCTCAGATGGAACTCACTCTGTGGTGGGGAGGAGACAGATAATAATAAAAAACAAACAAAATAAATAGCAAGAATCAGATAATAATATGTGCTATGCAAAGAACTTTAAAGAGGTGACCAGATGAACTTGGGGAGTGTGAGGAAGATAAGAGGAGAGGAGGGAGTGAGGGGGAGAGAGATCATAATGGTGGTAAGAGAGACAGGATGAAGATCCTATAGGGCTTTGTAAATCTGGGTAAGAGGACTGGAATTCAATACTGAGATGGGAAGGCGTTGAGGGGTTTTATATAAGAACTAACATAACCTTGTTCACATTTTAAAATGAATGAAAAGTAAAAATAGTCCAATTCAAAAATAAGCAAAGGAGGAGGATTTTGGGAAGATGGTGGAGTAGGGAGCACGAGAAATCTCTCTCTCACCCAGACAGTAACTTGCGCTGGCAGAATCTGTCTGATATAACTATTTTGGAACTCTACAGACTATTGGAGCTTGAAACTTCCAGGGGAAGTCTCGAAGAGTAAATTGCAGTAAATTTTGCTCAATTTTGAATCTTAGCACAGTAGCATCCCCCACACCTCAGCACTGTGGCAGCAGCTGTACATGTGTTTTGGGTGTAGTGTGCAGGAGCCAGGGTGGGCAAAAGGACCCTGTGTTCCACATATTGGAGCTCTGTGCTATGACCTCTGATTGCGGCTTCTGATCACAGAGAGGCAGCAAAGAAGCAGTGGCCATTGTTATTTGCACCTCCCCCTATTGTTGCATGCCCCTCCCATTCTGGCTGAAGTGGTTTCCAGGGTGTTTAAAGGGCTGGTGCCTTTCTCCTTTACCCCTTTCATTTTTCCTTTTTTCTCCTTTTGGGAGCCAGACATTGAAGAATAGATTATTCAAAAGCAACCGCATATACAGCGGGATTTAGAAAGTCATCATGCATGTCCAGGGGAAGGTGTATGCTCACAAAAGACTTGAGATCTTAAATTTCCACCTCAGGCTGATCCTCAGCACAGAGACAGCTTACAACAATAAAAGAAACAAAATCCAGTAAACCCGGGGCAAAGAAGAGAATCTAATTTGAGTTACCATATTATCAGACTCAAATGTCTAGTTTTTGACACACACACAAAAAAAATCACAAGAGATACAAAGGAAACAAGAAAGTATGACTCATTTAAGGAAAAAAAAAATAAGCCAACAGAAGCTGTCCCTGAAAGAGACTTGATGGTAGATCCACTGGATGATGATTTAAAAGTAACTACCTTAAAGATGCTGAAAGAACTAAAGGAAAACATGGAGAAAGTCAAGAAAAAGATGTACAAACAAACTGGAAATATCAATAACAACATGGAAAACCTACAAAGAAACAAAAAAAAATTCTGCAGCTGGAAAATTCAATAACTGAAATGAAAAATTCACTAGAGGGATTCAAAGATTTGAACAGGCAGAAAAAAGAATCCTCCAACTTGAACATAGGATGATGGAAATCATTGAGTCTGAGAAACAGAAAGAAAAAAATGATTGAAGAAAAATGAACAGAGCCTAAGAAACCTGTGGAATATCATCAAACAGACCAACATATGCATTGTGGGAGTCTCAGAAGGAAAAGAGAGAATACCTAAAGAAATAATGGCAGAAAACTTTCCAGATGTGAGAAAGACATGACTATAAATGTCCAAGAAGCTCAGTGAAATCCAAGTAGGATGAATTCAAAGAGACTCACCCTAAGACACATTATAATCAAACATCAAAAGAGAAAGAGAAAGAATTTTGAAAGCAGCAAGAGAGAAACAATTTGTCATATAAGGGATCCTCAATAATTGTCAGAAGATTTGTCATCAGAAACTTTAGAGATCAGAGGGAAGTAAGCTAATTTATAAAAAAGTAGTAAAAGAAAAAAATGTCAACCCAAAATCCTATATCTGTAAAAATTGTCCCTCAGAAATGAGGGAGAAATTAAGACATTCCCAGATAAACAAAAGCTGAGGGTATGCATTACACTACCCTTGCCCTGAAGATGGCAACTCAGAGCTGTATGAAGAAACAAAGATCTCTCTAAAGGTAAATACATGAGTAATTATAAAGTTGTATTATTGTAACTATGGTGTTTACCTCCACTTTTTGTTTTCTATATGATTTAGGAGACTAATACATTTTTAAAAGACTATCGGTCTTGTGGCGCCTGGGTGGCTCAGTCATTAAGTGGATGCCTTCAGCTTGGGTCATGGTCCCGGGGTCCTGGGATCCAGCCCCACATCAGGCTCTCTGCTCCACGGGAAGCCTGCTTCTCCCTCTCCCACTCCCCCTGCTTGTGTTCCCTCTGTCGCTGTGTCTCTCTCTGTCAAATAAATAAATAAAATCTTTAAAAATAAATAAATAAATAAAAGACTATCAGTCTAAAAGCAATTATTATTGTATTTTTGGCTTGCAACTCTTTATTTTGTTGCTTGTTTGTTTTTACATAATTTAAGAGACTAATGCATGAAAAATTATTCATTTTTGTTTTGGGACATTCAATGTAGAAAGATGTAGTTTTGTGACATCAACAACTGAAAGGGGTGGGGACAGAAGTGTTAAAGGAGGATAGTTTTTATACATTTTATACATTACTGAAATTTGGCTAATATAAATTCAAATGAGAATGCTATAATTTTAAGATGTTAAATTTTATCCTTAGGTAACCACAAAAACAAACAAACAAACAGCTAAAGAATACACACACACAAAAAATGATAAAAGAATTCAAACAATTCACTATGAAGAATTTAAATACAAAAAAAGACAGGAAATGAGGGAAAAAAATCTGTAAGACCTATAGAAACTAGAAAGCAAAATGGCAGAGGTCTCTCCTTATCAGTAATTACTTTAAATGTAAATGAATTAATCTCCTGTCAAAAGGATGGCAGGATGAATAAAAATATGATCCAATTGTATATTGTCATTTTAGAGCCAAAGACATGAACAGGTTGAAAGTTCCATAAAGTGTGGAAAAGGATATACCACGAAAATAGTAACCAAAGGAGAACAAGGATAGCTATCCTAATATCAGACAAAATAGACTTTAATTCAAAAAATTTTACAAGAGACAAAGGAGGACATTATATATTAATAATGTATTAAGTATATATCAAAAAATGTTTAATACAATAAGATGTAACAATTATGAATATTTATGCACCTAATAACAGATCACAAAAATATATAAAACAAAAATTGACAGAATTAAAGGGAGAAATAGAACTACAGTAATAGTTGGAGATCTAGTACTTTACTCTCAATAATGGATAGAACAACCAGATGAAAGATAAGTAAGGAAGTCAAGGACTTAACTAACTACAAACCACTAGATCTAACATGTACAAAACACTACTCAACAACAACAGAATATGCATTTTCTCAAGTGCATATGGGGCATTTTCCAAGGCTAAACCATATGTTAGACCACAAATGAAGTCTCACAACATATTAAAAAACAGGTATCACACAAAGTATCTCCTCTGGCTACAGTGGGATGAAGTTAGAAATTAAGACAGAAGGAAAAGAGGAAAATTCACAAATTTGTGGAAATTAAACAACTTAGGGCAAAATATGATCCAGTAATTCCACTTTTGGGTATTTATTTGAAGAAAACAATATCACTGTCTCGAAAAGATGTCTGCACCCCCATGTTCATTGCAACAGTATTTGCAATAGTCAAGACATAAGAACAACCTAAGTGTCCACTGATGGATGAATGAATAAAGAAAATGTGGTACATATGTGTGTGTGTGTGTGTGTATGTGTATTATATATAATATATATAATGGAATATTACTCAGCCATAAAAAAGGAAATCCTGTCATTTGTTACATGTGTGGACCTTGAGGGCATTATGCTAGTGAAATAAGTCAGAGAAAGACAAATACTATATGATTTCACTCATATGTGGAATCTAAAACAAACACCAAATTCATAGAAACAGAGAACAGATTGATGGTGGCCTCAGGTGGGATTTGGGGGGTTGGCAAAATGTGTGAAGGTGGTCAAAAGTTACGAACTTCCAGTCGTAAGATAAATATGTCCTGGGATGTAATGCACAGCTTGGTGACTATAGGTAGTAATACTGTATGGTGTATTTGAAAGTTGCTAGAAGAGTAGGTCTTAAAAGTTCTCATCACAAGAAAAAAAAATTTGTAACAATACATGGTGCTGGATGTTAATTGAACTTATTGCAGTCATCATTTTACAAAAATACATATGTCAAATCATTATGTTGTATATCTAGAGCTAATACAATGTTAGATGCCAATTATAGATCAATTAAAGAAATGTCCAAAGCTAGCCAATCCCCTGTATATGTTCTATAGGAATATTTGATAGAAAATTTCAAATAAATAGGTACATTAATGGTTATATATTTATCTATAATACAGTGGTTCAGAAGATCATGTTAACTAATTTTCATTAAAGTACACACTTTATTTTTTATTTATTATTATTATTATTTTAATTCCAGTATGATTACCATACAGTGTTATATTAGTTTCAGGTGTACAATGTAGTTATTCAACAATTCTATACATTATTCAGTGCTTGTCACAATAAGTATACTCTTAATCCCCTTCACCTATTTCACCCATCCCCAAACGTGGTAACCACCAGTGTGTTCTTAAAGTCCCCATTTTTATTTATTTATTTATTTATTTTTAAATTTCACTTTATCTATTTTTAAAGATTTTATTTATTTGAGACAGAGAGTCAGAGAGAGACAGAGAGAGAGACAGAGAGGGGGGAGGGTCAGAGGGAGAAGCAGACACCCCACTGAGCAGGGAGCCCGACACGGGACTCGATCTCGGAATTCCAGGA